CGCGAAGCGACGCCGCAACGTACTTCAACCAATACAACAGCAGCATTCCTGGCACAATGCTAGTTATGGCATCGAGTCATGTCATCTGCCTCCATCCCACCGCTTTGTTTTTGCCGTCGGAAATTTCTACCAGCGGAGAGTTTTGTGGGATCCAAGATTTGAGCGCGGCGTGTGCGACAGAGCGGCCTCCGCGCGCATACAACATACACAAGCGCAAAGTATCACTCACTCTTGGGTGATTGAACATTCAGAAGTGAGTAGCTCACAGTTTAGCTAGGAAATTCCGTAAGATAAAAAAGCTGGAGTCATTGATCGGATACAGAAACCTTGACACTCTGGGCTAACTACAGGAAAGTGAGCGCTGGTAGGATCTCGGTAAGGGGATACGTGAGACGATGGACGTTGATTGGAATCAATCGTGCCAGACGATGTGAATAGGACGATACCGACGTTGGTTTGTAATCCCACTCTGCTTCTGTGAAAATCAAGGCCGAAGCTATTTGATGAAAGCATTGTTTGGTTTTCTGCAAAACATCGCGAACACACTCTTTGGTTTGTCGCTTCAAGCCGAGTTTCTGGTTGGTGTACTTCAGACGCGCATACGGAATGTAATGTCCGTCCGCACAAGCACAGACTATCTGGTTCAGATGATGTCGGCACAATTATTGAACTATCTTACACGGCTTTAATTTGAGTGGCGATGCACAAATGAATTCGGGGAATTCGAGAAAGATGATGCATCGCCGAACCCTGTCTCTCATCTTCTATCGTTGATTGCTTCATAGGGGTCGCAGCAACTTTTCGGACTGTCTGAACCCCCGGGAAGTTTCTCGAGCTTATTTATGTGTGTCATGTAGGCGGAACAGTTTAAATGTTTCTTCAAGGTATCTATCGCTGTCTGGTAAGATTCACTGAAAATCAAGTATGTTTTCTCTGTTCATTTTTGCCAAACCAATATAATAAGTGTCATACAGTACCTTCGAGCTCATTGCTTATTTTGAGGCGTCTATGGACGATTTATCTGGACAATATGCTGCTGCCGCGCATGCCATTATGGGACAGCCGTCGGTTCCTGCAAATTCTGGGGCAGCTGCCTTAGCACGAACGGAAATGATGAGTATCGCAGATACCAGCGAAGCCGCGAAAAGAGATAAGATTGTGAGTTTACTGTAGACAATCAACTAAATCATAGGTTGGAAAATATTGTACGCCGTGTTTCTAGACAATGGATGACTTTGAGTTTCTCAAAGTACTCGGCAAAGGTACATTTGGGAAGGTTATCTTATGCAAGGAGAAACGTACTTCGAAGTTATATGCAATCAAAATCCTCAAAAAAGAAGTTATCATTGCTAGAGTAAGTGGTTTTTGTGACTGCAATTGTTTGACCCAATGTATCCATTTTAGGAAGAAGTCGCTCACACCCTTACAGAAAACCGCGTTTTACAACGATGTAAGCATCCTTTCCTCACGGTACGTTTGACGGACGCTTTTTTGGAATAGAAATCGCACTTTCTCCAAGGCGACTTACTATTTGACCATGGGATGAGCTTGCAAAAAAACCTTTATTGGGACAAAAAAGTAGTTATTTGGCGATGTCTCCGTTGACTATGTCCTTCGCTTCCTTTATATCTCTCCGCACTACTATCACATGATATATATGGAGTTGCGTAAAAGTCCACAATTCTTCATTCTCCATTATATCTTTTTCCTGTGCAAGTGTTTGAGTAGATTTCGTTGCTTCTACAACATTTACTACAGTCTGCTTCAATCCCAACCAGGCCGAAATTGGC